AGGAGAGCGTTTATTTTAGTGCAGAGGGGATAGTGCAGGTCAGCTCTAGAGTAGACCATATTCGAATCAGGAACAACTCTTCTAAAGAACACTTCATTTCTGACATCCCATAAACTTCTTAGGATAGTCATTATTCTGCACAGATATTTTCTTTTCAAAGGATTGGGACATACTTTGAAGTTTTGAACTTTCAAAATCAACTTATACATGCTGTTGACCAGCCCCACATAACATAAAGAGGACTTCTGTCATTGCACCATTTAGAACTGCTAATAGTGCATTTCAAAAGAATTTATAATACCAAAATTGCCCCGTTCAAAACATTGGCAAATCATTTCCTATAATTCCCATGCTTTTGAGTTTTTGTTTGGAGAGGTAGTTCGTGATTTGTGCTATTTGGGGTTCTACCAGATAGATTTGTCTACTAGATTTGACTAGTTTTGGGCTGATATCAAATGGAAGGATCTAAAAAGAAATGATTTTTGTTTCACACGGACTTTGCATGCTGTGATCTTTATTACTTAGGCCTCGTTCGCTTTTCTGTAAATTACTTATTTGGGCAATACATTTACCTATGTTCTTTTATTTTTCAGGTAAATATAACAATGACTATTTTAACCACAAAAATCCATTATTAAAAGGGATGTTTTTGTCCCATCCAAATGGTGGCAACTTTCTCCTAAGTGGAAAAGTTATTTTTCCACTTGAGAGATATATATGGTAACTGGTAAGTGATACCTAGGAAAATAAAATTTCCCTTATCGTTACATAAATCTAAAAAAAAAGAACATGAATTTCTTGATAATGGAAATTAATTCTTCCTCTCAAAATCCAAAAATGAACAGACCCTTGTTGGTATCTTAAGGCTTCCATTTTGACTCCCTAAAGTGCCTGTCAAAGAAGGCTTATTATTTTGGCCTTTTAAGGTGGTTTCCTACATTCTACGAGTGGATTTGAATATCTGAACCTTTTCATTAGTAACCCTTGTAATGGACTAGTGGTGCCGTAGATTGCTGTTAATAGGACCTGAACTCGTTTGGGGTGAGGTTCATCCTCTACTCGAGGTCACTCCGACAGGCGATCACCAAGTACATTTCAGATCGAGGACTTGGGTCGTGAGATTGCTTAATAGGATGTACATATCTTGTGGACTAAAGTTGGGGGCTATACGGGTCCTCAATATAAATACAGCCTTGAGATTTCAGGTTCAACTTCTTAAAATGCGACAATTCAATACCCAAATTTTCAAAACGTGTCAATCCAGTACCTACCATTAGCCAATTGTTGACCAGTCGTTAGGTGACATTTGAAAAAGACACAAATACCTTTCGAGTGTCATCTAATTTTCTTTGTCAACCATCCAACATTGATAAAAAATTAACAATCCCAAATCCTTGCCTCTTCTATTCAAGAAAGTTGTGGTCACGTCTTAGTGAGCATTCTAGACCCCAACTTTCTTGAATAGAAGAGGCAATGATTTAGGACTGTTAATTTTTTGTCAATGCTTGGATGGTTGATAAAGAAAATTAGATGGCACTCGAAGGGCATTTGTGTCTTTTTCAAATGCCACTTAACAACTGGTTAATAATTGGTTAATGGTAGGTATTGGATTGACACATTTTGAAAGTTCGGGTATTGAATTGTCGCACTTTAAAGTTCAGGGACCAAAGTGGCACTAGGCCCAAAGTACATGGTACTAATCGGGAGTTTTTCCAAAACTTAATGATAAGTTAAATGGTATTTTTGTCTTGTACATTAACCTTACCAACATTAACAAGGTACATATAAGTTTTTTTTTTTTAAAGTTGAGGATATATAAAAGTAGTTTTTCAAATGTACATAGTATATTTAAGTAATTTACCCTTTTATTATTTATAGTGATGAATGAACCATTAGATCAAGGTTTTTAAAATCGGATCGGGCAAAGAACCGTTATGGGGTCCGATTCCCTAGTCAAATGGTCTGAGCGTCTAGTTTGAATGGACGGTCCGCTCTGACAAAATTTAAAAAACCCAAAAGACAATCAAAACCATTCTCGAATCGAACGGTTTGATGGTTTGACCACCCGGGTCAGTGGTTCATTGACAAAATCAACGATTTTTGGCCAAATAGCGGTTTTGGGGTAAAATGGAACCAGTCAGGTAGTTTTCCGAATCCGACCGTCTGGTTTGATCCGCTTTTGAAAACATTGCATTAGACATTTTAATGAGACCCATGTGTTATTCCCAATTAGATGAATAGGTAGAGGCAAAGTGTAGTAATCAAAGGTGCAATATTCCCTAACAAACAATTAGGTATATGTTTGGCATCGATGCTGCATATACAACATCGTTTTGTGGGTTGGAAGAGAAAACGATGTTTTTTTTTTGTTTGGAGACGTTGCTGTTAGGTAGGACGTTTCCTGGGGCAACAACAACACCTTTTGTTTGGTACTAGTGCTTATCTATTTTTAACACTTTTACCCATTATAGGAAGTCCACTCCATTGCCACATCATGTCCTCTTTGGCAGCAATGAGCTCCAAATTGCGAAAATGTCGAATTCGGCGTTTCCCCGGACCACACCTTCTCAATTTCCAAGGCGTGGTTTGAGTACTGTTTTTTATGGAAAAACGGTTCCAAACATGTTACCATTTTTTGGAGCACTGATTTTTCCAATATGGCACTGATGTGTCGCCATTTTCTAGAGCAACGACATCGAATGCCAAACATCGCCTAGATTTGTTCACCACCCATGACAGGTTTAGATTGGCTTTTACCTCTTTATTAATAGAACACATTTAGGCCTGAGCCCAAGTTTGGCCCGACCATTGAGCCTAAGCCCGACTCCCATATAAGTTTGAAGTTAGGGCATGTCCGACCTAGAAATTGGTCAAGAAGAAATTTATATTTTTTTATTTAAAAATAAAATTGATTTATTAATATTAAATTATCTCAAAACCAAAAAAAAATAAAAATCTCACTATGACTTGAAAAAAAGAAAAGAGATGAAATACACTTTTTCTTATATAAAGATATTTTTATTATATGAAAACATTATTAAGCCAAGATTCATATTTAGGTTGATTTTTTTTTGAGAAAGCCTGAATGTCAACCTAAAAAAGTCAAACCTAATGTTTTGGGACCCATCCCATGGGCTTAAAAAGTCATGTCCAAACCCGAGAAATAACGAGTCAATCGGGCCAGTCCATCGGGTTACCCAGCCCATGAACAGAACTACAAACAATATAACAATGGGTAAAATACAAAAAAACTCCTTAAAGTTTTTAACAATGATAAAAACCTCCCTTATAATTTTATTTTAACAAATATTTCCCCGAACTTTTGAGAAACTCTACAAAACATCCCTTCCGTCACCTTTTCAGATGGAAATTGTTAGACTAATGCATCAGTTTTTTTCAAATACCCGTTCTACCCTTTTATAAATTATTTTACATACAAAATTACTAAAACAACCCTACTTTTACTTGACAAAAGCCTCCTTTTAATGGCCATCTTCTAATGTTTTTGTCGAGTTAATACAAGGCTAATCAATAATTTTGTTTGTAAAGTAATTTATAAAAGGGTAGAATGGGTACTTAAAAAAAACTGGTGCATCAGTCTAACGTTTTTCGTCTGAAAAGATGACGGAAAGGAGGTTTTTGTCAAGTCTCTGAAAAGTTTAGGGGAGGTATTTGTTTAAAATAAAATTATAGGAAAGACTTCTATGATTGTCAAACTTCAGTGGGAGAATTTTGTATTAAAATCTTGGGTAAAATACTTATACCTCCCTTGACGTTTTTGAAATGTACTTAAACCTCCCCTCACCTTTAAAAGTTGCAAAGACCTCCCCTCACTTTTGGTGTAAAAGTTGCTTATTGACCCCTTCTGTCAATTGACTTAATTCTAGTGGATGGAGAGTGAAACATTCCTAAACTAGTGACTACTTTTGTGTGTTTACCAGAAAAGTTAAAGTTTCATATTACCAAAATTAATTACCCTTCTAGGATTATTCTCCATCACTTGAAATAATTCCCGCTTAGTTCCTCTTTTCTAATTCTGCCGCCCAACTCAATATTCTCAAGGATTCTACAAAAAACCCTATGTGCAAACAAAGAATACCTACTTGTTGATTTCACACAATTTTTTGATTTTTTTTTGATATTTTTTAAGTTTTTAGAGGTAACTTTTTTTTTCATGCATTGAATATATTGTTAACCTAAGCTTTTTGTGTTTTATATTCTTGATTTTTCTTGATCTATTATTGTTTATATAGCAAGTAGGGCGAGTAAAAAGTATATATAGATCATACTTGAGTCTAGAATAGATCATACTTTGTTCTGTTATTGTTTATATAGGCAACTTCGCTGTTTGTTTAATACCTGGGTCTACTCGTCAAGGAAGGTCTTTGCAACATTTAAAAGTGAGTGGGAGGTTTAAGTATTTATCGAAAATGTCAAGGGAGGTTTAAATATTTTACCCAAGTTAAATTTTTTAACGTGCAACTAACAGATGGGGTCAATAAACAACTTTTACACCAAAAGTAAGGGGAGGTCTTTGCAACTTTTTAAGTTGAGGGAGATTTAAGTACATTTAAGAAATGTTAGGGGAGGTTTAAATATTTTACCCTAAAATCTTTCTATATCATTTGATCATTTCACGGGACCTGTAGCCATGGTTGCAAATCCTCTTACTTTCCATGAAGTCGAACTTAAAACAAATTCCAATCTAACGGTTTTAGATTTTGGTCAAAGTCTTGTGGTGATGTCCCCATCATCTTAGGTTAGCAATCGCCATGCCTACCGTTGCTGTCACCTATCAATGTCGCATAATATCAGTGAGGACCGTGGAGAGCTGGCCCGTTGGGGAGATCGTCCAGAGAGAGCGAGACACCACCGTTGATAGAAGAAGGAAAAATGTGGTGTCGAACACGTGGCAAGAACCTTGTCGTGATATTCAGTAAAAAAAACTTGGTGAACGTAGCCGCCACCATGGCCCAGCTCCTAATCAAGAAAGAGAACTACGGCGGAGGCGGAACAGGAACTGCGGAAGAGGAGAGAGAAAAAAGGGCGCTTGTTTCATCGTCTTTTTCCTGTTTTCCTGTTTTCCTCCATTCCGACATTTGTTTTATTGTTTGGTAGTGGATAGTGATTCATAAGACGATTTTAATTAAAAATGGGAAAGATCAGCATTGTTACAGTTCTGATGAATTAGGGTTTCTCTTAACTCTTCACATGTCTACCATGTTTCCTGAAAAATGACGAGATGATGATTGCAGAAAAATGGGGGTGATTATTGTTCGGATAGCATCGATGATAGGAAGAGTATAGAGAGAGAAAGAGATGTGGAGCTGCATGTGAAATTAGCAAGTTAAAAGGGTTTTGCTTTTCTCTGTCTTTGTAGGAAGTCATGGAAGCACTTCTAAGAACTCCTCCTCTCCCTTCTCTTCCCAAACTTGATATCAACAACTCGAGAAGATTAACCCTAAGGCTCAACACCAGCAACCGCGGCGAGATCAGAGCTATCTCCTCCATTCAATTCAACAAACTCTCCACTTCTACCGGTTTCAGACTTCCTAATCTCCAAGGTGTTTCCTTGAAATCCAGGACTTCTTTGATTCGTTGTTCAGCGGCAGCCGATGCCTCTGCTTTCGTTTCCGATAACAGTGCGCCCAAGGTTCCCTCCAAATTCTTAGGCGTGGAAATTAGCACACTGAAAAAGGTGATCCCCTTGGGGATTATGTTCTTCTGCATTCTCTTCAATTACACCATCCTTCGAGACACGAAGGATGTGCTCGTCGTTACAGCTAAGGGAAGCAGTGCCGAGATTATCCCGTTCTTGAAGACTTGGGTGAATTTGCCTATTGCTATTGGTTTCATGATTGTTTACAACAAGCTGTCCAACGTTCTGTCAAAGGAATCGCTTTTCTACGCTTGCATGTTTCCCTTCATTGCGTTCTTTGGGGCCTTCGCATTTCTTCTGTATCCGAACATTAATTTAATCCATCCGACCGGATTGGCTGACCGGCTTTTGGAGATTCTTGGATCCAACTTCCTTGGCCCTATTGCCATCCTGCGGATATGGACTTTTTGCATCTTCTATGTCATGTCTGAGCTTTGGGGAAGTGTCGTCGTTTCGTTGCTCTTCTGGGGTTATGCTAATCAGGTGAGAGTCTGACTGTTCAACTGAATTTGTGCTATCATAGTCCTTTTTGAGTAGTTAATTCAACTTTAACCAGCTGTTTTGCCTAAGAACGATTACTAGTATCATCGCAATATATATATTAGTGTGTCTTACCTTCAGTACCGCCTTTCCTTTTCAATCAAGTTTTCCTTTTTCTGTCTTTGACTGCACATTATCTTTTCTCTTCTATTCATTTCTTCCCCTTATTTTTAGTTGTTACAGACTCTTAGATAGATGGGTATCTTTTGTTTATTTTGTTTATGTGAAGTTGAGTATTTCTGAACTTTTGTGTCTGTAGATCACTTCTGTGGATGAAGCATCTCAATTCTATCCATTTTTCGGGCTTGGAGCAAATGTTGCTCTTGTTTTTTCAGGCCGAACAGTGAAATATTTCTCCAACCTTCGGAAGAATTTAGGACCTGGAGTCGATGGATGGGCTGTATCTCTCAAAGGGATGATGAGTATTGTTGTGGCATCGGGGCTTCTTATATGTGCAACCTACTGGGCAATGAACAGGTATATCAAGACAGAAACAGGGCGGAAGAAGAAGAAGGTAATTTTATATGTCAGATTTTTTAATCCTTGAGGTCTGTTTTAATTACTTGGTGTAATGGTAAAATCTTGGGCTGTCAGGTGTAATTTTAATTACTTGGTGTAATTTTATATTCAGTCCACCCCTTCCAAGACACTAGATAGCTGGGACCAACATTAGGCCTTTATTTGATCGTTTTAAGAGAGAATGCTATATCATGCTTTTCAGGAAAAATCAAGAATGGGGACAGTGGAGAGTATGAAATTCTTGTTATCTTCAAGGTACATAAGAGATCTTGCAACGTTGGTGGTTGCATATGGGATAAGTATCAATCTTGTTGAAGTCACCTGGAAATCTAAGATAAAAGCTCAGGTAAATCAAAGCCATTTCCTATTTCCCTTCTCTCTGCTTTTGCTTTGTTTTCTTTTCTATATGTGGTAGTTTTGCTAAGGTTTCCTCCACAAATTTGGCAGTTTCCTAGCCCAAATGAGTACTCCTCTTTCATGGGTGATTTCTCAACATGCACTGGAGTTGCTACATTCACAATGATGCTTCTAAGTCGATTCATCTTCCGCAAATTTGGATGGGGTGTAGCGGCTGCAATTACACCAGCAGTTTTACTTGTGACTGGAGTTGGGTTTTTCTCTCTGATTTTATTCAGTGATCAGTTGGCTCCACTGTTTGTGAAACTTGGTTTGACTCCACTTCTTGCAGCAGTGTATGTTGGAGCTGTACAAAACATCTTTAGCAAGAGTGCTAAGTACAGCTTATTTGATCCTTGTAAAGAGATGGCCTACATTCCTTTGGATGAAGAGACAAAGGTATGCTTAACTTCCTTTTCTAGCAAACTAGGATTGGTAGATAGAGACCTTCAAACTATGTACAGATAAAAATGAAGCATTAACACTGTAGACCATATTCAAGATATGAAATTTTATATTACTGATGGACTGGTTCTCAATGCCTGCCAGGTCAAAGGAAAAGCAGCAATTGACGTGGTTTGCAATCCCTTAGGGAAATCAGGGGGAGCATTGATTCAACAGTTCCTTATTTTAACCTTTGGCTCCCTTTCGAATTCAACACCTTATCTAGGAGGGATATTGCTTATTATTGTATTAGCTTGGTTGGCTGCTGCTAGATCTTTGGACCGTCAATTCACCCCAATGGCAAAGAAGGATCTTAGAGACAAACTCATTGAGGGTAAGATTTCTGCCATAAACTCAAGGGTTTCTGGAAAGCTTCAACCAAAGCAGGGCATCAGATATCGTTTTGTTAGCACCTTGAATACAATGGGATTCATTGAGGGTAAATATGTTCCCTTGGTTGAAGACATCTCTTCTAGTGGAGGGCTTCATCATCTCACAGTGAGAAAGCTTGACAGAGAAAATCAAGCTGAGGAACTAGTTGGAGCAGCTGTAAAGCCAGCACCTGTTAGTGGAGAGGAGGGTGATAATCCTGAAGGAAATGGCCATGTGCCACCAAATGAGAATGGAACTTCCAAAAAAGCTCTATGAGCTACTTATTTTAGGGCAAGTTGGTTTTGCATTACAGATAAAAAAAGTTGGTTTTGTATTCAACAAACGCACAGAAATTATCAGGGGAAGAACCATAACACTCATTGGTTACTGAAGAAATGTTTGCCTGATGATCAGTAAGAACTGAATAGAAGTGATGATCACGTAACATTGGTGATCACTGTGATTATGTTGATGCTGAAGAAGGCAATGATGATGATGAAAATGGAAAATCACAGCACCTGTAGTCCAGACAGAAAATAAATGCCGCATATGCTGAGGTATTAATGAAATATCTTATGTATGTTGGCACTCTGTTGCTAGCAGAAATTGGTTTGTTTCTGCTAGCTGTTTGTAGCTATGCCCATGTAGTTGTCCCACTTTTTTGGCATTTCATTATCTTATTAAATGTTACTTGCTTGTCTTGTTTTCCATTATTGCCATCTTGAAAATTTATTTATGTGGTGAATGGGAGAAGATGAACAAAACGAGGATCTGTTTGTAAATTGAAGGTCAAGAATTGCTTGAGTTGAATAAGATTTTGTGCAGAAATGAAAAAAGAGATGTAAAGCCCAAAATATTGGCACTTAGCTACATAACATATTGAATTTGAAAATAAATCAGGGTATACCTCAATTTGATTTAATCAGGTAAAACCTATATCTGAGCTCGAAAAAAACTGGTAGCTGTATTAGGTATATACCCAAAATTGGATTTGATTAGATTCTGGTGTAGAACATCATCCAACAAGGAAAAGGAAAAAAGAATAGCTAGTGTCAAATGATGCTTACCACTTCAGGAAGTGATTAGCTTCAGCATCTTTCAACTTGTTCGATAGATTATATTGTATATCGGATAGACAAGAGATTCAAGATAAAGTGTTGAGAGATTCAGAATGATGGAGACAAGCAGCAACAGCTTTCACCTTCTCCTTTAGGACTCAAAGAAGATCTAGTCATTTAAAATCACGTAAATAATGTGTATCAATTGGGATTTTAATCAGATTGGGTCAACATGTAGTTGCATTTGATCAACCAGATATGAATTATGACTTGAAGGCAACTTTAATTGGGTCAAATTTAGATTCAAATTGGACCGAAGTTCAGTTTACTAAGCCCTATCTCTACAGGTACGATAGAGGTAGATGTTCCTGAGGATGATGAGTTCGCATCGACCGGGAAGCGTGAACCCGCCAACCAGAAACGACAAAAGGACAAAAAATACTTAAAAGTTAAAACATTTTAATTACATGGGATTTGATGCGGCATGATCTGTGCACTGGCTATTAATTGGCTCTTAACCGGTAATGGACGATACCTGAGAAGGAGAAGATGAAGGATTCGCCTGGCAGGAATACTCCAAAGCTTAAGTTAGAACGCTGGGGAAGAAAGTAAGAATGTAAGTCGCACTGGATCACTGAGTTCTCAAGATTAACTCGAGAGCAAGTAAATTTTAGATAGGATCTCAGATGTTCGAGAGAGAGCTTCCCTTTAACTAGGGAGCTCTTATATAGGCATTCTTGTCAAATCGGGCGTAACCGCCACTAGGCTTTTGTTGCAGTTGTTACTTGCCAGGGCTGCGCAGGTGACCGTTGCAGGGTACTACCCAATTGGATGGGTGACATGTCCCGGGAGGACATGCACGCCACCATCTATCGAGAGACGTGGGTACAGTCTGTCGAATGGGCAGGGACTACGCCGTCAGTCAGGAGACATGGTGTAGTCTGACGGGTACGGTCTTGTCAAATAGAAGCTTCCTGAAAGCATCATGTCGCTTAGTCGCGAGCTACCTTGTAGCGAGCTATCCTGTCACGAGCTACTTTGTAGCGAGCTCCTAGGGGTACTTCGAGGTGACCCTTCTCAAGGTTGTCTTTGGGGCAGTTTTACTCGCGAGTTGGGATAGTCTTGGAGTATTCCCTTTTGGTAGCTCGTGAAACCTCGAGCTCCCCCTATAGCGAGCTATGACGTAGCGAGCTGTCCTGTAGGCTCGTTACTTAGTCGCAGTCAGGCTGCGGTGCTGAGCTGTTGCTCGTGCTGAGTCAAGTCCACGTGTCATCCTCCATCAATTGCCCCCAACTCCTCGGGCTAAGAGTGCTACCTTAGCATGAGGAGTTCATGAAATGGGACAGGTGGATTTGACCGAAGTTCAAACTTGATTGACTGCTCGCATTAAATGCGTACGTAGAAGTCAGGAGATTTCTGACGTTTCGAATGCGAGAAACGCGCCGAAGCGGCTCTTAACTCTAGATGTCGTGCAACCATCATTACCTCAATCATAGGAGACGTGCAACCAGTCACATTTCGGTTTCAGAAGACGTGCGGTCAGCTTGACTACGAACCGTCAGATCTATCTCAATTTGGGCCGTTGGTCCAGGGGCACAGTGGCTATAAATAGGAGGGCCCCCAGGCCTCATTTTCTTTCACGCTAACTTGTTGTCTTCGGATTCTGAGGTCACGCATCCATCTAGTTTGCCTGATCTCTTCTGTTCACACCGTTTCATCTTTTCGGTGAATCATTTATTCTGTCAATCATGTATGGGTATCCGTATCACGTTTATCCCCAGGACGGTGACCAGAATGACGACGCCCCCTCGAGCTTAGGGGGAGCTTGGGAGCAGGCTCCGGAGGCCTCCAGCGATGTGGCTTCTACCTCTCGGGGCAGAGAGCCCGACACCTTCGGTCCCTCCTCTATGACGATGGGGAGACTCAGATCTCTAGTCCGCCATTTTCACCTTCCCGGGGACCTCATCTATGGTCTCCCCTCTGGTAACTTTCCTTGGGAGCATGGTTCCAATGATATAGTAATTTTCCAGGAACAGCTCGAGGCTGGCCTGTGTCTTCCCTTGCACCCCCTAATAGTGGAGGTGTTGAATCATTTTAACGTCACCATTGACCAGCTCCATCCCAACGCCATCCAGAATGTAGTTAGGACCATTTCTCTGTGCTATGAGTATTGCCTCCCCCTTGATCTCGATATCTTCTCTTCCATTCTCTGTATTAAGAATGCCACTCCTGGAGCGCCTCTAGAAAGGTGTTCTTATTAATTTTCTCCCCACCGCGGCTTTAAGCTTCTGCACGACCTGCCGAACAGGGTTCCCGCCTGGAAGCGGGACTATTTTGTGGTCCGTAACCCCAAGGGGTGGCCCTTCCCAACTTCTTGGAGGGGCGCCATCCAGGACCCCGGGGCTGAGTTGGACTCTGAAACTCGAAAAACGCTGCTATCTTGGGCAGTTGTAGGCCTTCTCTGTTCAGATTACTTGACCGAGGAGAAGCTCGTGCAGGCTGGCTTGAGCCCGGGTAGGTTGCCTTTTAGGTCGTGTAGTGCCTTGTAAAAATATATCATATGTGTATACATATATTTCCTTTTTATTGAACTAATACCTTGTGGTTCTTTCATAGCCATCATGTCTGGTGTTGACGCGCGCCGCATTCTTTCTAGCAACCAAAAGCGTAAGACTAAGAGGTCGCGTCCTGACCGAACTCCCACTTCTGGGGGCACTGAGTTCGGGTCTGCTGAGCCAGACTTTGTTTCTCCACTGCCTGAAGTCCCACCAACCCCATCTGAAGGAGGCACCGGAGAAGGTGGCCTCGAGGAGGGCGAGCTCTCGAGGCAAGGGGTGATTCCTCCTGGTCCTTCCCGCCCATTTCCCTACCCGCAGTTCCCGGTAGGGAACTGGGAGGGTGTTAATGACTACATCGTGGCTGGGCGGAAGAGCCGTAGGGCAATCTGCCACGAGGAGGTCGCTAGGTGGGGGGAGATGGAGCCCAAGGCGCTCGCCGCGTTTGTCGCCTCCCACTGTATGGTGGTAAGTAGTCTTTTCTTTTTCTTCTCATTCTTTCCCTTCTTTTGTCGTTCTCTGACCTTAGTCTCTTGTTGGCAGGTGAACACCGCCATCCACGCCATGGCCCTCCATACCAACATCCACTCCGGCGATGCTCGCAATCAGAGGGTCATCGTCCAGAAGCTTCAGGGCAAGCTCGACCAGGCCCGAGGCGATCTCCTTCAGTCTCACAAGGGAAGCGAGGCTCAGGAGCTTCTTGCCCATGACCAGGAGGCACAGATCGCCAGGCTTTCTGAGAAGAGCACGTGCTACAAGGAGGAGTCGTCGAGGGTGGCAGCGGAGAGAGAGCTCATTCGCCAGCAGGTCCGGGACTTGGAGTCTACACTTCTGGACCGAACTCGGAACTTCGACGCCATGGTGGAGGCCAAGCGGGCTAAGGCAGTCTGGGACTTCAAGGACTCCTTGGAATACCATGACCTCCAAGTGGAGTATGGCTCGAGCTCGTACCACTCCGGATTTAAGCTCTGCCGCTGGTTGGTCCGAAAGAAGTTTTCTGGGCTCAACCTCGATGGCATCACAATGAAGGGCCTGGCTCCCGAGACGTCGGGCCAGGCGGAGGAGGAGCTTGACTCCCCGGAGGAGGTGGACCCTTGAGGTTGGCGGCTTTGTTTTTCTGCTTCTTTGACTGATTTCTGGTGGTTTTCGGGTGCCATAACCCGGTTTTCAAAAAATCTTCTTCTTGGGCAGTTGTGCCCTTTTTACTCATTGTTGAACTTTCCCGAGCTGTTTAGCTCAGTTTTTTATTTATGAAGTAGTAATGGAATTTTTCTTTTTCTTCTAAGTATGGTGTGCTCTTTTATTTTTTGCCAAAGCGATCTCATCACTCGAGCTATTAGAGCTACATGCCCGAAATATGATTTTTCGGTAATCGTTATCCCGAGCTATACCTTAGTGTTTTAGGCATCTTTATAGTACAACGCGAAGTAATTACCATGCATGACCGAACTATATGTTTGTAGGTTGTACCTTATCTGGTCCAACTGTTGTGTTGAGACGAGCTATGCTTCGTAGGGTTCAGCCCCAAACTGCTTATGCCTTTGATACTTCATACTTTACCTTCGCTGGTGAAGCGGCTAGGTATTTTATCGTGCCGAGGTCTTGGTTAGCTCGGTGTTTTACCCTTAGGCTAAGGGGGTGACTTATAGTCTGCCCTTAGAGTTTGCCCATGCCATGGAGGCGATTGGGTCTCATTGTACCGAGGTCATGTTAGTTTGGCATTTTGGCCCTTAGGCTCTGAGAGTGACACATGGTCTACTTAGTGGTTCGCCCATGCCATGGAGGCGACTGGGTCTTATTGCGCCGAGATCGTGTTAGCTTGGCATTTCGGTTCTTAGGCCTTGGGAGTGACTCATGGTCTACTCAATAGTTACAAGTAATACTGCCTTAGGTTGACAATATTCCATGCCCGAGGTACTTGTTTCCCTTCAAGGGTTTCGAGCTCATATGTTCATTCCCCAAGCACCCGTCTCACTCGGTAGGGTCCTTCCCAATTCGGTCCGATCTTGCCAATGTCGGACTCAGGTACCATAACTTTACGAAGGACCAGGTCGCCGCCGTGGAGGTTCCGCTTCTTGACCTCATCGGGCTCAGGTACCG